AATTCCGGATACCGCGCGGTATTCATGGTAGTAGTGGTGCCAATATTTATTCAAAAAAGTAGCGCTCGTTTCGAAAATCATGAAACTAAAACTTTTTTAAATAGAGATATAATCAGATATTTTTTTTAAATGACAAGTGCATAATGATTAGATTTATTGGCCTTTTCATTTAATACTGGATATATTCAGTGAAAGAATGTTTTATAGGTGGTATTTTTAAAAAAATTTGTGAAAGCATTGATGATTAATATCCATTTGGACTATATCAAATTGGACCAGGTCCAATTCCAACACTGATAATGTTCAAACTAAACTAAAATCAACTACACTGCTTGATTAGGGTTTCTATTCGAATAAGGTTTATTCGAATTATTTGTTTTACTCATTATGAATTTGAGTATTCAAATTATATTGAAAGTTTTTTGAATAAAATGAATAATGAACAATTTGATAATTTGAATAAATGAATAAACGAATAATTCAATAATTTGAACAAAATGAATAGTAATAGTTTGAGTAAAATGAATAAACGAATAATTCAAATAATTTGGGTAAAACAAATAATTCAAATAGTTTGGCTAATTTGAATAAAACAAGTAATTTGAATAAAATGAGCAATTCAAATAATTTGATTAAAACGAATAAAAACAAATAATTCAAATCATAATTGGCTAGATGAACCAACTACTGATAGAATATAGTAGTGACACATAGTATTTTGAAGTTGACCAATTGTTAATTAATAACCATTCAAAATTGTCCTAGTTCTATGAAATAAATTAAAATTTCACCTTTAAATTAAAAACCATCGTTACCATTATGTTTAGATCTATATACTGTAATGTATTTATTATTTGTATTGGGAAAGCCATCTATTTATTTTAACATGGTACGCAAAAAGTAGATTAATTCATTATTAATATTTTTTATTTTTATTTACTGATTTTCAAGAATAATAAATATATAAAATTATAAAAAACGAACCAAGTCCAAGTCCAAGTTCAAGTAAGTATTGAAATTGTTTGATATTTTCTAGTCTTTAGAGTCTTTATTTAAATTTTATAATGCAATCTGTGCCAACATGATTATGAGTATAAAACATTAATGGTTTACGAAGGCACGAAGCTCAAAAACATAAAGAATATGATAGTCCGCCCACCTGTCATTAGAAGTTCTTGAATTTTTGGGGTTGTTACCAAGGTTGGATGACGAAAATAAATGTGACGAGATAGGATTTCTATGAGAATTTGACAAAAATGACAAAAATGACGAAATCAACAAGAGTAAATTAAAAAAAAAATTTCATGATGTCAAATTCTAATTCACCAATTCCTTCTCAATTGTCATCATAAATCTACATGCCAACATCATCCCAATTTGCTAAAATTGCAATATCCTTAAAGAATGCCTTAGATTTTCATGTGGGCTCATTTAAAATATAGATGTGGGTTGTCGCATGCTTGCCATATATGTTTATATTTATCAGTACATAACCTTTTGCTGGCACCAATGGTCATTGAAATTTTTTAGTAAAATAACTATAATCAAGTTGATTTTCATAGGAGGGTTCCACATTTAGGAACCTTGCATTAATTGCAACCTTATTATATCAACCCATGAATATATCTAAACTTTTTTTCGTTCAATGATGCAGGTAATGAAGGTAATTTAATTATCTATTTGAACATAAAGATAAATAGCGACTGTATATGATGACTGTTATTGGATTTCCACTAATAATAATAATTATTGTGTAAATTTAATTAGCAAACTGTCTTACTGCTGTATATGGCAAACATTTTCTCACTTGCAAGAAATGCGAGAGTCCAAAGAATAATACGAGATGTGAATACAGTGTATGTGTTCTTCAAGTGTTCATACATATTGCAATGATTCCTTTTAACAACATGATAATAAAACAGCATACGTAGATATGTTTCTTTGATTCTGTTTTCTTTTGTAGGATCTGTTTTTTTTTTTAACAATAAAAATAAAGATCCTTTTTGGAGGATTAATATATAGCACGAAAAATTCTCTGAATTGAAATATTCATTAACTGTGAGTTTTAGATCCAACCAATTCTGTCATGTGCTGTGCCGAACGAGTTGTGAATCCTTCTCTGTGTGATTGCCTTTGGTTCCTTTTGTAAATATTTGAAATTCTTTTTTCACATTAACATATTGGTATTCGGGACTTTTTGATAATTGTAAAGAAATTACTTGATAATTGCCCGTTCAGATATCACATTTCGTATAGTATAGATCTATGTCTATTAAAGCCTCATTAAAGAAGAAACTTTATGATTCAACAATTGTATATTAATTGTCTGCCTCTTGAGTGAAAACACACATATATTTTGCAAGAGCGTTAAAAACGAACGTTTCATAAAAGTGAATGATTAAAGTTACTGTTTAAGGTGTTTGAAGAAGCAATGTTTCTATTACTATTATAACCCTTTTTCAATTTTTCTATTACCATCTTACATAAATATCAAAATGATGGTTTTTTGGATGAAACATGTTCTTTGACATCTTCAAAGGTTCTTAGAGCAAGAAGTTTGTTTAATAATAATCAAATTAAAAGAAGAAAAAAACAATAATCAAAAGGATTGAATGATTTTTATTTGAATTTCGGATTTCACCAGGGATATTTTTGATTTCAAAACTTGAATTTTAAGCTATAAGCAAAAAAATTATTTATTATTATCATTATTACGAATTTCGATTTCGATTTCGAAAGATTTTAATTTTATTACATCATGTATGATTCATACAAGTTACTATGCATAGTAATCGTGGGGACACACACCTGGGGTATATACCCATTATTTTATACTACAGTGCATACCATTACTAGGAGACAGTCGATCAGGGGCCCGTAATTGCTAATTCATTAGCAGCCATTCAGAGGATCCAGCTTGTTAAAGTTTTTCCTTGTTTAACCTTTTTTGTCAACAAGAAAATGGCACTTTCAAGGTGTGAATGAATGGATAATTCTATTAAATCTGACACCGAGTTCAATATTTTGCATTTTTATTTTACCAGAAATAATTTTTAAGGTACTCTATAAACTTGAAACCGGAAGGGAAAACTATATTAACATTTCTATGGACCACAGAAACTCGCCATTTCTGGACGGTCTTTTTATTATTTATTTATTTATTAAATAAAAAGAGCAAGTAGAAAAGAATGGAAATTTATGTTTTTCTTTAAGAAATGTGTATGTCCTTTGCTGACTAAGGTTTTTTCGAAATTTGCTTTATAGTAATAGCAATTGTCCTTTTTATTACCAGGTATATTCTTTTCTCAATTATACCAAGATTTTGTTTATTGTTGTGAAATGTCATGCAATTAATGTGAATTTGTTTGTTACCTCAAATACATGCCATGCTTCAATTGTTTTGGTGTCGTTTTCCGATTGGAAATCGATAATTATTGTTTATAAAAGATACAAAAACTTATTATTTTTTCTCGATCCAAAAAAGTTGTACAAGAGTTTTATTATTATAATATAAACATATTGTGTATATATATATGTAAAGAATTAAACAATTTTTTTTTCAAGACACCAAAAATAAAATAAAAAATATTAATCTATAATAATAATGTCTACAGTTGTATCAAAATCAGTTCTTGAAGTTCTTTCACTTACACCAGATGAGTATAGAAAAAGAAAAGTTGCTCTTTTGACCGGTAATTAATTAAATTGATAATTGGAATAATAACAATTGGAATAATAATTGAGAAAATTAATCAATTAAACAAAAAATTAATTTTAGGTATTACTGGTCAAGATGGTTCTTATCTTACTGAATTCCTCTTAGACAAAGGTTACATTGTCCATGGTATTATTCGTCGTTCTTCATCATTCAATACTGGTAGACTTGAACATTTATACAAAGATCAACATGAACGTAAGTGTTAAATAAAAATCTTTTTGATAAAAAAAAAAAATATATATATATGCAAACCAAGTTAATGATTAATGATCCCCCCAAAATGTATCTAGGTCCAAAAATGGTTCTTCATTATGGAGACTTGACAGATTCAACTAATCTTGTTCATATTGTTTCACAAGTACTTCCAACTGAAATTTATAATCTTGGAGCTCAATCTCATGTCAAAGTTTCTTTTGATATGGCTGAATATACTGTGAGTTCATAGAAAAAATTAAATATTATATATATATATATATATAATTGATTTTGTTAATTGATGATTATATTTTAAATTGATTATTTTTTAGGGTGATGTTGATGCTTTAGGAACTTTACGTTTATTAGATGCCATAAGGACTGTTGGTTTAACAAATCATGTTAGGTTTTATCAGGTAACGATTATTTCCATATACACACACAGCCTCATTTATACAAACAATTAATAAATCAATGCCCATCTCCCTCTCTTTCTCTATCTATTCATCTACCTATCTACCTCGTTACGTGTTTATAGGCATCCACATCTGAACTTTATGGTAAAGTTGTGGAAACTCCACAGTCAGAAACCACACCATTTTATCCTCGTTCACCCTATGGTGTAGCTAAACTTTATGCCTATTGGATTGTTGTCAATTACCGCGAAGCATACAATATGTTTGCTTGCAATGGTGTTTTGTTCAATCACGAATCTCCACGTAGAGGTCGTACTTTTGTAACTCGTAAAATTTCTAGAGCCGTAGCTGAAATTCACTTAAATAGACAAAGCTGCCTATATCTTGGTAACATTGATTCTAAGCGTGATTGGGGTCATGCAAGAGATTATATTGGTTAGGACATATTACATTTATTACATTTATTTATTATCTATGATATATTTACATGATGCATGATAATTTATAACACAAAAAATTATTATTTATTTCCTTCTTTCAAAAAATCAGAGGGGATGTGGTTGATGTTACAACAAGATCAGCCAGATGATTTTGTTTTAGCCACAGGTGAAACTCACACTGTCCAAGAATTTGTTGAAAAAGCATTTGCTGTAATTAATAAAACCATTGTTTGGAAAGGCGAAGGTGAAGATATGGTTGGAAGTGAAGCTGACACTGGAATAGTTCGTGTGCGTGTAGATCCAAAATACTTTCGTCCAACTGAAGTTGATCTTTTACTCGGTAATCCTACTAAAGCTTATAATAAACTTGGTTGGAAACGTAAAGTTGATTTTGATTCACTTGTAAAGGAAATGGTTTTGGCTGATATTGAGGGAGCCAAAGTTAATTCTGAAAATTAAAAAATTTAATTTATTAATTTATAATTAGATTTTAAATTAATTAAAAACTAGTCATTTATAATAGCATAGAAATTCAACAACAAAAATAATAAATTATTTTAATAAAAATATAATGAAAAAAAAACTATTATTAAGGAAATTACAATTAAAAATGAATCAATTGTGGCAATTAATAATACTATGTGTAATATAATAAAATAATGAAGAAGGTTTAAGTGAAGTTTAAGATTGTCTCTGTCTGCAACATGATGATGGACTTGGGTAAAGCAAAGTCAACAGAATCCTTTGTTAGTAGGAAACCACAAACGATTTGACCGTTCTTTAACTTTTTGAATTTCAATGAGGTAATGAGTCATTATGAAAATAATTTTGAATGAAGTGATAATATAGCAAATTTAATTTTAATAAAGTTGTGTTTTTTTAAAGGTTTCCCGCTTAATTTTCTTTTCGATTCATCGTACTGTAACCATTTTGGTGGTAAAATAACAATGAATTAAGTTCTGGAGTTATTTGTATGTAATTGGTAAGAATATAAATGCCTGCAAATTTAATAATGATCATGAGATTTATTATTATTGACATTTCGTGAGAAAATTTATAGATATATAATAAAGTTTTATATTTTTTTTAATAATAATAACAGACCATCAATAATTTTTTGTTTATCAACGTACTGATTGTTAAATTACCACCGTCAATTCAAGTAATTAATCTCCATATCAAATCAAATCCATAAGTATTAGGATAATGATAAGTTTCTTGTACCCTTGTGATTGCAGGTTGTGAAACACTAGTGTCAGTCAGTATTGTAAATCAACCAAAATGCACCATTATCATCCGATAATCCAGATGATTTCGCCAGCAACAGTTTCAGGATAAGCTCGTTAAAATACTATGGCAGTGTCATTTATTATTTCACCAGTTACCGAACTCCGCCGTATAACATACATGTTAACACATAATCTAAAATAATGTGTAAGGAGTTAAAGAAAGAAAGAAAGAAGCCCTAACAGCTTAAGAAAAAAGATTTATATTAATTTCATTCTAGAAAGACTCTGGAAATATTCCATAGGTTTTTAAAGCACGGATCATCAATATTTTATTTAACTGTTTATTTTATTAAAATAAAAATGTGATATGATGTTTGACTGACAGTAACCATTACGTGTGAAGTGATATCCACCCGATTATTTGACCTCGCCAAATTGTATGTTCTCGAACGTCTGTCTATATCTAAATTTACATATAAACTTGTGTGTAGTTCCAGAGCGGAATGAAAAATATTCATGAGTTTTTGGTTTTAATTTATGAATGCCTTCCCCTGTTCGTATTCTACAACACTTTCCAGATCCAAAAACCGATTTTTTCATCGTCTACCTAACAAATGAAAAAACGCAAGTCTCTAGTATTACTAATATATAACTTAAAAATGTACCACCTTCATATTTGGACAACTCTTCAAGTTGAGCATCTGTCCTTTTAACGAGATTAGTATATCCTTTATGAGAGTTGTATACACGATATTCTTTGGCTTTTGTAATGCGCTCCTTGAGTTTATCCTAGAGAAGCATTCACAGAATTAAATCTTCTGTTATCCTATGCAACGCTGATGTATTTAGCTATATACAAATTACTGCATTGGCAAGTTTTCTAGTAGAATGATTCAGAATGAAGCTTGACTTTGATACTCCAGGTTCTAGGTTAAATGCACTTCCTTTGGTATTTCTTTTGGCGAGACGAATTAGCTCGTTCAAATTGAATAATTCCTTCTGTGTTTTTAGCAATTTCACCTCTTGAAATAATTTCAAAATATCTCCTATATCACTCTTGGTGGCTGCTTTATCGAAAAAAAGTCTGCTTGGTTTTATTGTGATATAATTCGGGAGAGGATATTTGAAACAAGAGGGATATATGGTTGGCGCGGTAAAAGACTTCCTATTTGCTGTGCCACATGGCCAAATAGAATGGTAAATCGATAATCAATAAAATCGATAAAATTCAACACTCGGATAATCGGTGATTACTTGATTATTCATTGAATATCCGCTGAATAAGGCTCCGAACGAATCAATGAAATTCAAATCACCTAATTTTTATAAAGAGTTGCCTTTGGAAATAAATGGTTTCGAAAGTCAAAAAAAAAAATATTTGTCTAGTGCAATAATTGCATTTGGCTTTTCTGTCTACAACCATAAAATGGTTCCACGCTTCACCTCTTGTTCTTCTTTGAATACATTGCATCGTGTAATTGAAGAGGTAATCGTTTTCAACAATGCAATCATCATCATTCATCATATTTATTATTTAAATTTAAAACAATGAAGTTTGCAATTGTACTTTTTATTTGTTATACTTCTATTCGTAATACAAATTTTTGCTGTACTTTTTTTTTTACTATTTTAATAAATTTGTTATTTTTTTTTTTTTTCAAGAAAAATAAAATTCTTTCAAAATGTCAACTAGTTTTTCAACGTTAGAGAATATAAGCTTATTATTTAACAAATTTATAAAGTCAAATAAAGATGCTCTATCATTAAAATATATTAGTAAACTTGTAAATGATTTAACAAAGTTGTTGATTGAAACAGATTATTATGATGTAGAAATTAGAATTGGAGAAGGTCTGGATGTTAGAACTTTTAAAGCTCATTCTACCATTTTAAAAGCAAGGTCTTTGTATTTTAAAACCGCTTTCTCAGATAGTTGGATTAAAAAATCTGATGATGGTAGTATTATATTATTTGAAAAAAAAAATATTTCTCCAAAAGTATTTGAAGTTATTTTGGTGTAAGAGTTACAGTATTTAATTAATTAATTAATTAATTAATTAATAATTATAATAATTTTTTTTAACTTGTTAATTTTTTTAATTTTAAAAGATATATTTACAATGGAATTATAAATCTAGATAAATTGAATCCAAAAGAAATTCTTGAACTTCTTGAAGCATGTGATGAATTGGATTTTAATGAATTAATTGATGATTTACAAAATCACTTGATAGTTGAAAAAAAGGATTGGATTCAAGATAATTTAACTTATGTTTATAAAATTTCATCAGATCGCCAATTGTTCAATTTACTTAAAGATCATTTTGATGAATTAATTTATGACAATCCTCAACTATCTTTAAAATTTGATTATTTTAATATTATTGACAAATCTATCCTTACATCTATATTAAAAAGAAATAATTTAGAAGCAAAAGAAATTGATATTTGGAATTTTGTTATTCAATGGGGTATAGGACAAAACAAAGAATTAAACAAAGATATTTCAGAGTGGAACAATGATGATTTTATCATATTAAAAAATGTATTGGTAGATATTATTCCATTGATAAGATTCAATCATATCACTTCAACTGATTTTCATGATAAAATTGCACTATTTAAAAAATCATTTGATAAAAATATATATAAAGAAATTCTTCAACATTATCTTAGCGATGATTGGAAACCAAAATTATTATTTCAAAAAGGTCCAAGAACAAAAGCAAGAGGAAAATTATTAAATTTAAAAATGATATGTTTAATTTCTAGCTGGATTGATGAAAAAAATGATTTGTATAATGCAAATACTTTACCTTATGAATTTAAATTAATTCTCAATGGAACTCAAGATGGATTTTCTAAATCTGTTTTTGAGAAAAAATGTTATGATGTAGAACAGACTATAGCAATTATGAAAATTAAAGAAACTGGAGAATTATTTGGTGGTTATAACCCTGTTGGCTGGAACATTAAAGGAAAGTTTCCAGATGAAGGATATTACATTGAAACAAATAAAAGTTTTATTTTTAAAATTAACAAAAACCAAATAATGAATTCAATAATAAACAGAGTCAAAAATTCAAAAAAAGCAATAGAGCATAGTAAACCAAATCTTGTAACTGTAGATGATATGAAATTTGATGAAAATACTATAGATTTTTACAATTTTGGATCATGTAATAGCATTAATAACAATCCTTATTTTTATTGTTATCGTAATAATTCTGATGATCCTTATGAAAACAATTTTGATTTTATAAATAAGGATAAATATGGTAATTTGTTAGCATTAGAAGCATTAGAAGAATTAGAAGTCTATGAATTAGTAAAGAGTGAATGATTTTTTTTAAACCATGTTTATTTATGTCATAAAAATTATCAATTTTCAAATTCTTACAATAAAATACACGTATAACAATCTCCATAAATTTCCAAATCAACTATGTAGATAACAAAATTCACACACTTAATACTAGGCAAATTTGACATGATTTACAATCAAAATTAAGGTTTCTGGCCGAAACTGCTTCTATTAGTAGCCGAAATTGCCCAAATACTTTGGGCAAAAATTATTTTTTTATAAGCCCAAACTACTTTTTGTTACTAGCCGAAATTGGGCGAAATTATTTTAAAGTTGTTTAAGTTAAAACAAGTTGATTCATATAGTTTTTTAATGTTCATGCTTATAAAAAATGTTGAGAAGCCCAAATTGCCCAAACTAGTTTGGGCTTTGAGAAAACAGTTTGGACCAGAAACCTTAATCAAAATACTAGTTTTTGAACCTAATTAAACAGCTGGTTCTATTCATAGATTCACTTAACTTATTGGGGTGTGTGACATTCTAAGGATATCAAAGCTAGTTATTTCTAAAGTGATCAAATCATTTAAATTCCTTTGTTTTAAATTTAATCTGAGAATTAAAGGTCTGTTACATTTTAGAATGTTAGAATATTTAATTTCCGTTGTTTGAGGTATTTTCCACGAGTCAATTATTTTATTGAAATTTGACTACCGTCATAAAGCCTAATAAAAATGAATCTTGGTATTCCTTATTAAGGCTAATAAATACTTCATATCATCTAAAAGCATTTTGATAATTTATATTCCTTAGATATGAATCAGTACAACATGTTGCATTATTTAAATATGAAAGGTAGTTATGTTTTTGTGATTGATTCAAAGAACATTCGCCTACATTTTCTTCTGGTGAGTTTTTATAATATATTCTTCAATATGAGCATTAGTTAAAAGATAAAACATCATCAAGATGCCCAGAAATATCTTTTTCATCAATTGAGTGAGGGGATTTGTGTTAATTGTGCAGAAAATTTCGTGCAACAAAATATAGACAACAATTCCACTTTTTGTTACAATAAATCGCTGATGTCTTTGGGTATATTTTCCTTTTTTTTTTTATTATTAACAATAAATCACAATGCTTTCCGGTTATAATCCCATTTTTTTTGAATACAAAAATAATACAAATACTTTTATTTATTATCGATTTTTTTAATAAATACACAGCGAATCTCGGTTTAGCGATACTAATTAAAAATCTCGGTTTTACGGATAAAGTTCAAAGAACGGTTCCATAATGAAAACCTTCTCGATATAGCGGAAATCTCAGTTTAACGGATTTTTGGAAAATTTTCCCTAATACTAACATTAATTGCCCGAACTATCCGTTAAACCGAGATTTACTGTGTACAGTCAAGCCTCGATCAATGAACCACCATAAACCGATTTTCGCTTTATAACGATACAAAATTGGTTAACCCAAATCATATTTAATAAAAATTATTTTGAACCGAACTTAATGGTTTGTACAAAATAATAAAAATATAACTTTCTAAGCCAAATATGATCATAAACTGGTTTTAAAAATTCGTCTTATAATGATAAAATTCTAATAAAAAGACGAGGATATATTGCATTAATTCAACCAACAGAAATAGAAATAGATGAACAACAAACAGGATGGAAACCTTTATTCCAAAAATTTCTATTATATTGGTGTTGAAAATTTATTAAATTTTTTAGTATATCTTCCAAGTGATTTTAAAATGTATTCGTGCAACAATCTTTAGATAAATATTGTATTTTATAACGTTGTAAGCCGAATTTATTTTGAACAATTGATAAAAATCGTTTTGTATCCGGGGCTGGTTTGTGTAATTCAAATAAGTATTTGGCTAAACTGACTAAACTATTTAGTCATATGTTAAGTCAAGTTTAGTCAAGTTTAGTCAAGATGATTATTACTAAATTAGGTTTTTAACCTTTACGCTGCCAGCCCTGTTTGTATCATAAACCGAATTTTTTGATTTGTGTAAATGTTTTTAGTATATTTATTATGCAACACAAAACCGCATTTCAACATTGTTCATAAAACGCAATCTAATCGAATTTGATACATGTAATCAAAAACGTACTAGCATCATTTCAATCATGAATTCCGTCCATACGGTTTATATATCTCGTAACTTATTATTTATTACGTTAAATATTATTAAAAAGAGCAAGGAATAATCAACCCTAATTTAATATTACAATAATTCATTACCTTAAATAAATAAAATCAATTAATATTATATAATAACAATATTGTTGAAACGACAGCTACCAACCCCGTCAAAAAAGCCTTTTCCTGGATTACTTGAATTATTTAAATTTTTTAATACTACAAGTTGTCTTCCAAAACAACTAAATTCCTTTTATTCTCATCATAATAAATTATATTTCCTCTTGTCCGTGCAACTTTATAAATTGAACTAAAACCACCTTCAGTCAACTTTATTACTTTTTTAAAAGGCATCCATTCTAAAATATAAATTGGCAAAGATGATTTCATTTGATATTATTGAATAAAGTTATCAATTATGTTATTTCCAGATGTCCAAGTGGTGAAAAGATTCTGTAATTGTAAATTAATACAACCTTCACAGAATCTATCAGAATATTTTGTCAATTTACACTTGTTACATTCTTTTGTTTGTCTTCCTTTACCTCTTGCATTTCTTAACTCAAACCATAAATAAGTCTTTCTTCACAACATTCTTTATCATTTTCAGAAATAATCTTTTCGACTTTCTTTATCAGAATTGGCCAAGGCATTATGATACATTTCAGCATGAATTTTAAATACAAATTCCACTCTTTCTGGTGATAATAATTTCTTGTATGACATGACGTAAAGATAAAAATTTAAAATTTGGTGTTTTAATGAATAGAGCGGAGAAAATGAGTTTTTTTTTGGGTAATAACATTATCTCCTTTTTTTTATTTGTGGAGAACTGAATAGCGTGCAACAAACAATTCTCCTGTGATACATTAATGGGGTAAAAATAGTTTATCCTATATATTACTATAATTGATTACTGTCATCATGGTATATATATATAGTTTTCACACTAACAAATTAATAGTATCCCTTAAACGGTTGATAGCCGATAAAATTTTTCTCTAAGCATATCATTTCCTAATATGAAAATGATCTGAAAAAAAATTCGGGTTGGTCGATTGACTATTTTTACTTTTGCTGATTGTTAAATTGACCAATAAGAATGCGAGTTCATGATTTGGTGTTACCATTAAAGAATACTCGGACCGTTTAGGTATATATAATCTTAATAAAAATTACATTATTTTAAAGAGCATCTTTAACATCAACAAGTGATTGATTCGTCATGATTCTAATAAAGAAGTTTAGCATTCTTCTTTTTCTTTGTTTACGATTTTTATCACTCTAAACTTCAAAATCAAACTTACAAATAACTGTGCCTAAACTGTCTAGCGTACTATGTAAAAGTCATTATACGTACGTACCAATATTACCACCATCCTATTACTATGTGTTTTTCAAATTCAGACGTTCAAGCACATTATTAATATTATTGTGTATTACTATTATTATTATATGTAGTTAACTTCAAAAGTCGAAAATTCGAAAAAAAATCAATTTAACACAACTCATATGTATGTAATAATAATAGAATAGTTTTAATTTGTTTTATTATTACTAAAACTATTACAACTGTTACCAATATTTCTTCTTTATCATTACATTTCATAAAATGAAAAAATCAATACGCGTCTGAATTGTCTTTAGTGCCTGAGTTTGAAGCAGATCAATATTGGCATGTAGAGCAACTTTTACATACCTACGAGTTGTGTTAAATTGATTTTTTCGAATTTTAACTTTAAAGTTAACTGTGCGTCATAGTCATTACAAAGTAATATTAATAATAAAGTAAAAACGGAATTGGGCGTCTGAGTTCGAAGCAACATACGTTGATCAATGTTGATACGTAGAACGACCTTTACATAGCACACAAGATAGGTTTTGTTTGGTACAAATTTTTGTAAGTTTTAATTTAAAAGTGATGAAAATAGAAAACAAAGAATGCTGAAATCCTTTAATTGTTGAGTCACGATAAATCAACCACTAGAGTTTGGCGCTGATTGGAGTTGTTCTTTAAATAATGCAATTTTCATTTTCAATTTTTCAAGATTTATATTAATTCTTTATCAATTGATCCTGTTAGAGAAAAATTTAAAGGCAATAAATAAACTATTTTACTGTCAAAAAAAACCCATTATAACAAAAAGTTAGATTATCACACAATATTACGAGAACATTGTTTGTTACACACCATTAATTCCGTAAAGAAAAAGGAAATAATGTAATTGTTATTCTCGAAAAAATCTTCACTGTTAAAACATCAAGTCGACTTTTATATTTTATATTTTTATATAATGTCATACGCTAGATTATTATCATCGTTATCACCAGAAAGAAAGGATTTTCTATGCAAAATTTATGGTGAAATATATCGTAATGCAGTGGTTAATTCTGATAGAGAAAGTAGAAAAATTTATTTTTTTTCATTGGTCAAAAAAACAAGGAGCTTTCCGAAAATGAAAATAAATTTTGCAAGGAAAGGTTTATTTATGAGTTTGAATTAAGTAATGCAGTGTATGGATTGGGCAAATCAAAAGAATGTAACAAATGTAAATTGACAAGATACTCTGATAGATTCTGTGAAGGTTGTATTAGTTTACAATTACAGAGTCTTTTCACCAGTTGGACATCTGGAAATAACATAATTGATGATTTTATTCAACAATCTCAAACAAAATCTTCTCTGCCAACTTATATTTTAGAATGGATACCTTTTGAGCAATTTGAAAAAGTAACAAAGTTAACTGAAGGTGGATTTAGTTCAATTTTTACTGCAAAATGGACAAGAGGGAGAATAATTGATTACAATGAAAATAAAAAGGAATTTAGTTATTTAGGAAAGCAACATGTGGTATTAAAAAGTTTAAATGATTCAAGTAATCCAGGAAAAGCTTTTTTGATGAGGTTGGTAGTTGTTATTTAAAACAATACTGTATTATATAAATACTAATCAATTTTATATTTACTTTCAGGCAGTGAATTATTGTAAAATTAAATCAAAAATGCTTAATTGTTGTTATGGTATGAC